TGGCGGGGTTCAGGGAGGGAGTGCCACCTCCACCCCCTGACTCACCCAAGCAGACAACCCAACCTGTCTGGGTTGTGGGAGGCCGCAACCAAAAATATAACTCAAAGCGGGGACTCAGCTCAAAAAGTTTGAAAACTGCTCAGGGTGCAGGCAGGGGGGGTAGCTCGGGGTGCAGGCAGGGGGTAGCTGGGGCTGTGTGCAGTGAGGGGAGTAGCTCACGGTGTAGGAAGGGGGTAGCTAGGGAATCCGTGGGTGGGGAGGGGGTATCAGGGTGCCGGCAGGGGGTATCTAGAGGCTGTGTGCAGTGGGGGGAGCATCTCAGGGTGCAGGCAGGGGGTAGCTAGGAACTGTGTGCAGTGAGGGGTATAGCTCTGAGTGCAGGCAAGGGGTAGCTAGGGAATGCGTGGGCAGGGAGGGGGTAGCTCAGAGTGCAGGCAGGGGGTAGCTAGAGGCTGTGTGGGGGCGTGGAGGATAGCTCAGATTGCAGGGAGAAGGATAGTTAGGGGTGATGTGACAGAAGGGCCTCCCTGCAGTGGCTGCTCCCCGAGAGCTGTGCTGGCCCCAGAGCAGGGCCCCCCTCCCAGGCGGCTCTTACCAGCTGCGTGAGCAGTCAAAGAGGGCTGGGAGCTGAGGAGCAGCCACAACCCCGGGCACCAGCAGCAGATGGCGAATGCCACAGCTGCCCGCTCCATGGCACCAGCAGCCAGAGGAGCAACGGCCCCACACTGCCTGGCTCTGGCTTCCCACCTACACCCTGGGTCTGAGGAGGGCTTGGGGAGAGGAGGAAGTAGGGGAGGCGGAGCGGCCCCACTCTGGGTAAGGCACTGTAGTTTGGGGGCCAACACCCTTGATCCCCCTTCCTCCCCCCTCCCCCCCCTTCTCTTCCCATGGGCTCAGGGCTTCTGCCCATGGCGGGGAGATGGGACTCTGGGGCTGCCAGCTTCAGGTGAGGCTGCTGGCTTCAACCTCGCGCCGCTCCAAGCTTTAGTCGCACAGAGGTCGCCGGGGCTTGGGGCACCAGGTTTCAGACATGGGGCCAGGTGGACCCCCTGAAAGGAGTCATGGACCCCCAGGGGGCTGCAGACCCCCGGTTGAGAACTACTGTACCAAGTATTTCATCTGAAGTCAGATTTTGAACTGGCACTACTGGGAGTGTGAGAGATTACTTTCATGGCTGCTTTATAGTTTAAAGCAATTGCTTTTTGGCTTTCTTTAACCGCCACTTTGCTTGCTACTTCAGAAAAGCCACAATAGTTAGAAGATTTTACTCCTTACTAAAGCCCTAGCATATCTGCCTACTCTTCAAGTGCCCCTTTCCCCATAAATGGGCTGGTGTGGAGCCCACCTGCCATCTGCTTTATATAGTGGTGCTCTGGGGAGGCCTGGCTGCCAATACATGTCACTGGTAGGTGGGGATCCACTTACCGTAGGGGATGCTTTACAAGGGAGTTGCTTGTCCCCTAAAATCCTCCTTATATGGAGTTCCCATGTTTCTTATGTGCTCTGTAGAGAGCTTCAAATGATCTTACTAAGCCTTGGGATTTATTGGAACTCCTGGAAAATCACAACTCTGTGAACAGTAGAGCTTGTGAAACATGGTGTGTGATGTCTGGAGGCCTGAAGGATGGAAAGGGGCATTCTCTTCTCCGTTCTGCACCCAACTACAAGGCAGAGGGTCAGGCTTATTGGGAAGAAGGGAGAATACAGCAGGGCAGCCTCAGCCCCATTTCCGGTGTTCATGAAAAAACATAGTTTGCCTGATATGAACTGTCAGGTGAGGCAGGGAAAGAGGCCATCACACAGTAGGCAGGCAATGTCAGGGTTCTCTTCCCTTTCCTATCACCTTTATTCTCTCTATGTTCAGAAACTCTCACTCTGAAATCCTATAATCCACCATTCTAGAGGTCTTTGTATATTGAGCTTGCTGGATAGTCAGCTGAAACAAGGAAAATTGCATTCTTTGTTTTTTTCACGCCAATCTCAGCTAAACACTGTGTTTAAAAGACGGAGAACTAAAATAAATGGCTCTCCATTCCCTTTCCTCACCCTGATCTCTTTGTAAGTCCTGTTTGTCTGTCTACACACTGTCTGTCGTCCTCTCCCTTCCCCTTAGTTTAAAAACCAGAAAGATTGCAAATGGAACCCATCTGTCTCGGAGCTCAGCTGGTTACCCCTTCTCTGTCACCAGTGTGAAGCTCACTGGTGCAGCATCCAAGAGGGCTTCAGACCTTACTTGTCCTCAGTGACATATCAAGTAGGCTTCTCAGTTGGTCAGAAGGCAGAAGCTGTGCTATAATGAAGGAAGAGTTGCATGGTTTGCTCCTACAATTTGATTCTGTATCCTTACTTTACAATTAGAGCAGTTTGTATTGGTTCAAAGTAGCACTAAAAGTTTCTTACCTTAAAAGTTGCCGAGGAAACATAGCATGAGCTGATGATTAAAAATAAAATCCAGCTTTTTGCTCATAATGCAAGCCATGCTGGCACAAAATCAACTACTTTTCATATAGGAAGGATAGAATCTAAACTGCCAAGAGAGCACTGATATAAATACATAATGAATAAGTAAACTTCAGAGGGTATAAATTCTATTCAATAAACTTTACGTGCTGATGATTAAAGTACCTTTGTGAAAATGGGGTTATTAAAGTGTAAATGTCAGTAGATTAAATACGTGGCTGAATCAGCAAATTAGCACAAATCAGATATTACATCACCTTCATGGTCAGTAAAGTATGCAAGTTGATCAGCAAAATGCATGAAAATTCATCTGCCACCACATGCAGCTTGATCAGCAAAGTGTGCAAAAACTCCACAGCTGAAGCATCCAGCAGAACTAATAAAGTACAAAATGAAATCTGTTATAAGAAACCAGGAAAGTATGTATCTGCATTCATAAAATATTCAGAAAGATAAACTCTATGGGCCCAAATTTGCCCTCATTCACATGAGTACAACTCCCACTGACGTCTCAGTTATTAAGCTATGAAGCAGGATCAACAAGGAAATCAACCATTTCATGTAGTAAAAACGTAGTTTAATGAAAGAAATACTGCATGATTCCAGTCAGCAAAATATGCAATATGATCATTAAAAATTTGTAACTTATATATGAAAAGCTAGTAGTGAAGTATGCAGTTTGATCACTAAACTGAGAACACATTTACTGAGCTAGTGAAGTATTTGCCTGGAATGAATTTTGCCTTATGCAACAGTAGCATCTCATATTAACTATTAGCAGTTGCAAACTCTGGAAGTCTGGGAAGTCACTTCTTTTAATGTCAGAATGTCTTCTTTTACTGATGTGCTATGGAGAGTAATTTTACCATTAGCTGTTTTACTCACCTAGTGGTGTTACTTTAAAATACATATTCTGTGCCATCTGATGTTTTGTGGGCCTCTTTGGCTGTATAGCCACTGCACCTAATTTCGATTCATCAGATAAAAATATGTGAAATATTTCCTCCTTTGGTTGCTGCAGAAAGCTGTACGAGACATTCTAAACCAGTCATCCTTTCTCTCACTCCCATCTCACTGTACAGCTGCTGAGCATGCTTAGGAACTCCTTGGTTCTTCGAGGTGAGAAATTCCCTGGCTGGTCAATGGCAGTATCCATAATATTGACCAGGGAGAGCTGTATATCCTGGGAACATGCACCTCTTCTAGTATTCTAGGGAAAGCAATAACATTCCCAGGGTATATTCAATACCAGGACTCATACCAGTGTTAAAATGTTTAAAAGGACAATGAGCAAGAAAGATTAACTCAAACAAGCATGGAGTTCCATTAAGACTTTGGATGGACAGACGAATGGGAGAACACTGTCTTGCATGAAAAGACAGATGGGTGTCATTTTTCTGTGTTGGAGAAATCTGACATTTTGAAGAGATGGTGTTGAACAAGGTTCCATGTAAGCTCCTGCACAGGAAACAGCCTTGGACTAGAATAACGGAGACAATTGTATCAAGAATAAAAAGTTCAGCGGGACTAGCTGGTACATTCTGTGGGATGAGGAGCTGTTGCATAAGCTCTTTCTGGCTCTCTGCATATTTTCTGTGGTTTTGATGCTCTGTAAAGTGTTGCATGTTAATACGCCTTATTATTTTTACAGCACCGCAAATTGTGTTAGGTACTTCACAGCACATGTAAATTGCACAAGTTTCTTTCTCCAGAGAGTTGTTTGTTCATGTCTATACAAAAATCAACTGGCTTATGCCACCAAGCTTATTTTGTGCAGCATCAGTTTTTCTCTTGCAGAACCAATTTGTGTCTCTTTTTAGGGGGAGCCTAAAATGATCATCTACTCTGATCTCCCATATAACGCAGGCATAGGACTTCCCTGAATTAATTCTAATTCAAACCAGAGCATAACTTTTAAAACAAGTCTATGCTGAGAATCCACCTACTCACCAGTGAATACTTTTGTATAATTGGACCCTTATTTGCTTAACGTAGGAAATATTTTTAAAACCTTCTTCCTCCCTCTTTTTACATATACAAATAGTTTGTTTTAACGTTTATATTCAAAACAGGATTGACAGATCTCAATTTTATATATCTATTCTTCTTTGACTGGTGTGTTATGTTGTTATGTACTATGAAGTTCATTTTGTAAGACTTCATGCTTATCCTTATCTACATATTTATCAATGAGAGCTGGAATCACCTTCAGCAAAAAATTTAAATTTGATGAATTTTTTGTCATTTGTTCTTTTTCATGGAATTATACCATTAATTGGTTGATTACAATATAGAACTATTTAGTTTTAAAAAAGAAAAAAACCTATACTTGTTACAGATATCGTCTGAAAGGGATCAATAATATAATTATAGAATTAATATAAAGTTTACCTTAACAATAGTTTGTATTTTTTCATTCAACAAAGCAAGAGATACCTTTCTGAATTTAGTCATTAATCAAGTGAGTTTTCATCAGCCATATGGTATCATATTTGATCTGAAAGAGTGGCCTTTTTCAAATGTTTTCCCTCTTATTTTAGGACTTTCTGATGGAAACATTCATCATGTTCAAGAATCTCATTGGGAAGAATGTCTATCCCTTCGACTGGGTTATAATGAACATGATGCAGAATAAGTAAGTACGGAGAAAAAGCGCTGAACCTTTACTGAGATGACTATTTCATGTTTGATCTGAAACAACAGTGTTGCTTAGAAACAGTCACACACACAATGCAGCAGAGAGATTTTTTTTTTCTGTGATGCAAATAATTATTTGAAAAATTGGCTCTAGAGATTGCAGTAGACCTGTTATTGAAACAGAAGCAGTAAAGCATTGCCTCTTCAAGTCCATCACAAGTCAAGGGAGGGTGTCATTTTAAAAAAACATACACCAACAATTTTAGAACAGATTGTGGAGGAGGAACATTAAACCAACATTTTTATTATTATTATTAGTTAATTGAATTTCCAATACTATTCCAGTCAGGATACATGTGTTTGTACATCACATATTTCAGAAATAAATGGCTACTGTGCAGGGTTGAGCATCTGCCGTGAGAGTGTTTTGATGTTGTTAACATGTAGATAATGCATTTTCATACATCCTAATTGAAAGGGCAGGGATTTAAAAACTGTTCCCATCAGCTTGATAATGAAGTGACAAGTTGCGAATCTTTCAAATCATGTTTTTTTGCCTTGTCACTGCTTCTCTGTTTTTTATTATTTAATTATTATTTAACAGGATTCAGTGGAATATTTTGCATTTGCCATTTTAGTAAATATCTCCCACACATTTTTGTGCACTTTGATGCAAGTTTTAAAAAAAGCATCTTGTTTCCATGTTGCTTGGAGAAATATCTTGTGCATACTGTTAGCTATCATGGCTATAAAGTTGTCAGTTTTTACCCTATTAACCCATAAAATGGGGGTTATACTTTTGCCATAAAAATCCACTGTAACTTGAAACTTGGCATATGACAACTCCTCTCAAGAATGAATTTTATTATGGGTAATAAATTGGATTAAAATGAATTTAGCCATCCTTGAATTTATGTTTAGTGGCTATGGTCAAACATGTTTGTGCTGCTGTAACTCAAAAAACACTGTGTTTTGAATAAAAGAACTTTTTCAAATTAGTTGATAATGTGGACTTAAACCTACTGGATTTTTTGTTCAAGTTTTAAATGGGCCCCCTGTTCATAAACTCCAGCTGAGGATTTTACTGCAGATTTATAATATGCAGAGATCACTATGGGAGCCTTTACAGCATATGTTATCCCACCATCCTTGCTGAAATCCTGAAAATATCTCTTCCCCCCTCTATTTTTCTCTGTGCACCATCATTTTAAGAAGAATTGAGACAGCACTGGAAAGAGTTCTATTTACAGCCTATTGGCCCCACTTACTAGTCATGCAGCAGTTACTGTTAAGAGACTGATATGCTTTTTTCTCCAAACTTGACAATGATGAGTGTGATGCTTTCCCAGGATTCTGCCACTGCTGAGAATGAAATACTTGTCCTGGAATTAAACCCAAATTTCCCAAGTGGCAGGGCCAAGTGCCTTGTGAATTTTGTGGATTTGTGTGGATGTTTTGGTTTTTTTGTCTGTGTGCTACCAATTTGAAAATATAGTAGCAAATAAGTTCCTTTTTTAGGAAGGTGAGGGCGGGGGGTTAACATACAGTCAGGGCCGGCTCTAGGCACCAGCAAAACAAGCTGGTGCTTGGGGCGGCACATTTTTAGGGGCAGCATGGCCGGCGCCAGAATGCCACCCCTAAAAATGTGCCCCAGCAAGCACCAGCTTGTTTTGCGGGTGCCTAGAGCCGTCCCTGACTGTATGTTAACCCCCCGCCCTCACCTTCCTAAAAAAGGAACTTATTTGCTACTATATTTTCAAATTGGTAGCACACAGACAAAAAAACAAAAACATCCACACAAATCCACAAAATTCACAAGGCACTTGGCCCTGCCACTTGGGAAATTTGGGTTTAATTC